TCTTACGCGCGATGCACCAACGACTCGAGACCGATTTCGGCTACGACGGGCCTGGATCGTCGAGGGGCATTGGGTGCCAAGCGCGCAAAGACCAGCGCGACCACCGACTCGCGACAATCGTAGATAGGTTGGGCGAGAGCCATACATACTACCAACAACAAACTCGTACATGCTGTGCATTGGCCTGTAGACAGGCGCTTGACATCGTTAGCAAAACGATCTGCCAGATGGTTGCTGACGTTACCAGCCGTCTTCATGACGTGAAGGGAGCACACGTCGCAACGACACAGACTCTTCAGACAGTCTGTCATATTCAGTGGACCTAGGTTGCCACGGATTATTTTAGAGCCGAAAAGAACAGCGAAACCACAGCGACAGAGAGACGCACTCGACGAGTCCTGTCCCCGAACGACGACGCTATTAGTCTACATAATCGATGCACACACTTGACATGTTGAAAGTTATTCAAGAAGATCCGAGGTTAGACTGCTGCGTACGGAGCCGGCGTCGCCTCTTGAGCCACTGTCGGCGGCGTGGACGGGGTGTCGCGAGGCGCCGTGAAGCGGAACTGCACCACGAGACCGCCAAGGAATGCCAGCGCGAACACAACGATTGTCACCGTGCCGTTGACGCCCACGTCGTACGAAGAACCAAAGTGCTTAAACGTGCCGTCGTTTGTCGCCGTCAAGACTGCGACGGCCCCCGCGAGCAGCGACGCCCCCGAAAACACCGACGAGAGAATCAGCGCCGTGCGCGAGGTATGGCTGAGGTACGCAACGGCGATCGTGACGACCGAAATGACGATTACGAGAAGCGCGTCGTACGTGTAGATGTTGGCGACGACCGCACCGGTGACCAAGAGCACGGCGAGTGCGACCGTGCCAAAGCGACCAAAAACGTGGACGCGGGCGGCGACGGCCGCAGCAATGATGCCGACGGCAAGCGCAATGAGAGCGTACATGGGCTGCGCGAAGTCAGCGATGACAAGCATGCACCAAAGAGCGGCGAAGAAGAAGCTGGAGACGGCGCCCGTGAACACTTGGAGCTTGTAGCCGGCAAAGGTCACGGGCAGCACCAGCAAGAGCACAACGATTGAGAGGATGACGCTGATGGTGTCGAGGGCCATGACGACACTGGTGGTCGGTCGACTTGTTGGAAAGTTGGAAAATTGGAAAATGATAGTACTGCATCCGAGCCACCTTGGTGTCCATGCGTGGTGTCACACGTGTCCACGAAAGCGGACTCGTCTGTTTTTGCTGATGGCGACAGGTGACCATCTGCGCTGGACAGCGTTAGCAAAAATAGCAATAATGGCTGCCTCCGTGTCCACATGACATGACGCGACTTGGATTCCCACATTTCATTTAAAAAACATTAAAATTCGCACAGCTTTGCCCATATGGACGAGACATGGTTATCAGGTTCAAGGTCCTGGTCTTGGATTGTCGGCATGGATTCAGATTTGTTGGGTTTCACTGACGGGGTAGAACCGGTATGCTACTACTTGAAGTTTCCGTTTTGCCTGGATTTTTATCAGTTCTGACAAGAACCAGGGTCGTCCCTTTCAAAATCGATAAAAATCCAGGAAATAAAGATGACACTTCAATGACATGCACCAAGTCCAAAGACGGGCCACCCGCAGAGATTACCCCGAGCCGCTCTCGCTACCTCCAGTGCGGCGTGAGGCTGCGTTATCACATACGAGCCGAACAGCCTCCTCGACTCGCTCTCAGAGCAAAGGACGCGTCGACGCAAAGCCGTCCGCACCCTGTCTTATCTGTTAGCTTTTTCCTCCAGTGTCCCCCCACCACAAGTGTTGCAGCACCCAAAGAGCCTACTGACCACTGTCGACACAGCACAGCACACTGTGTGCTCTGGTTGGTTGCGCGGCGGCGCTGGGTGGATCGAGTGTAAACATCCTAATGTTAAACATGTTCAACACATGTCTTTGTCAGACGTCCAGGAACACCTTGACGCTAGCCTGGACCAGATTCATTTCCCATTTTGCTTTCCGACACACCGCAATGCTAAGCACCGTTCTCGCGATCCTCGTGCTGGTGCTCGCACTGCCCATGACCTTTGTCGGCTACAAGTTTCAAGTTTTGACCGGCGCCATCTCCAGCTTCTTCCTCGGGGTCGCCTGGAGTCTGCTCGTGCTTCCCAGCGTCAGCGATCTCATCGGCTCCATCGTCGCGCTCGCCGTCGGTGTCCTTGCCGCCGGTGTCGCCGCGCGGGTCCC